AGTGTGCGTGCGCGCGCGTGTGTGAGATGAGGATTGTGGCAGGCTGGCTGCTGCTGATGTGGGCAAGTGTGCTCTGTGTGCGGCGCTGCGCTGGCGTGCGATGCGCGCGTGCTGTGCGCGTGTGCGTGTTGGAATCGCGCGTGCGTCTGCGTGTGCTGCGCGCGCGCCGGCGTGTGCTGTGCGCTGTGCTCTGTTGTGCGCCTGTTTGTGCAGCTGGGAGGCGCAGCTTTGGCTGGCAGGGCTGCGCGGTGGGCTGCGGCGTGCTGCGGGTGGTCGCGCGCCTGCCTGATGGTGTACGGCGGCCGCGCAGCCCGCCCGACCGGGTCGTCGGCGGCCCAGGGCGCGAGCATGCGGTCGGCGCTGCATGTGAGGCTGCTGCGCGGCTGGCGCGTATGTTTCCGTGTGGTGAGGGACGCGCGTATGTGTTCACGCTGCGGGCGCGGGCGGGCGCGGGGGGCGGCGCGGTCTCACCGCGGTCCGACGTCGGTTGGTCTTCGGCGTGGCGAGGGCGGGCGCGCAGAGAGGCCTTGCCGCCATCGCGTTGCCGCGAAGGAAAAAAGAGCTACTCTTCACCTTACTACATACATACATACATGGGTGCGAAACAACGACAAGACCAAGGCACGGACGGGCAGAGGAACGAGAGAAGAATATAGGGTGGATAAAGCGCCTGTTCACGGCATGGTCGCATGGAGGGTGAGCCACACCGAACGTACCGAGCGAAGAGCCGAGCGGAAGGAGGACGGGGAAGATGACTCCGTCTCCGAGGAGGACGAACCAGTGGAAATCCAGTTGTCAGATGTCACGATGCATCCGAAGGGGACTCCAGCGCCGGCATCATCCGTAGAGGCACGAGTGTTCGAAGAGAGAGTGGACCTGAGCAACAACATGACCTGTAGGCAAATGATCGGAGTGGGAGTCAGAAATGTGGTCCTTGCGCGAGGGGAGCTCGATAGACTCGAGGGGCCAGGATACGCCGCGAGGAGGACGGAGTTGCGCCGAAAGGCGAAAGAAGCCGCGAGAACAAGGGACCGGCAGGCGGCGGCGTCACAGGACGAGGTAGAAGAGAACGACGCGACAGAGGAGGAAATGACAAGGGAGAGAACGACGACGGAGTGGGACGACCGCGAGGTGGCACGAAGGTTGCAGCGAGAATCGGCGAGCGACTGCGAAGAGAGATAGGAAGAGGCGGACGCCCAAGGGTGGGCGACGGCTAGCGCACCACACACCTCTCCTTAAAATCCCTGTGTGGTGCGGCGTGCCGTCCTCCCATCCCTCCCTTGGGTTGTCTGTTTTCTTTCTTTCTTTCTTTCTTTCCCATCCCTCCCTTGGGTTGTCCGTTTTCTTTCGTTCTTTTATCGCTGTCAGTGTGCCTGTGGCAGCGAGAGACTGCGGCGTCGGAGGACGCCGCCGTCGCCTAGACTCCCCTGCGTCACTACGTGCCTACCCATCTTTCTAGCCTGGCGTTTGTGCCCTGTCCGTTTGTGCCGCGTCCCGTGCCCCCGAGTTCATTTTAATATAATGAGAAGCTGGAGGCAGGTCGCTAGCCTGAGAACCGCCAGTGGAGTTGGGAGTCCACCGTGCACCCCGCGCTGCGAGGCTGTCGTGTCCCTTGTCAGGAGCAGGAGAGCCCTGTCTGTGCCCCTGATCGTCCTTCAAAAATCCTGCTCGTGCAGGTGGGGACCCTGTCCTCCTCCCCTATCCCTCGTTTGGGCTGTTGTTTTCTTTCTTTTTGCTCCACACAAAATCACAGTAGGAGGCCCGCGCGCCTGCCCCCGTGCCGCCGGGTGCGACTTTGTCCTATACGAGAGGGGAATCCCTGGGACCCTGTCGTGTGGGTGAACCCTGCCCAGCCCCCCTCCAAGCTCCATGTCGCGATGCGCTCCCCGCTCCCGTTCCTCCCCTGTGTCCCTGATGATCGTCCTTCCAAGATCCTGCTCTCGTTGCAGGTGGGGACCCTGTCCTTTGGCGTGTCCGTTTTAATTATTTATTTAACACACTGGGCTCCCATCCCTTCCTTGACTGTCTGTTTTCTTTCTTTCTTTAAAATCATAGTCTACAGTGGGTGGAAAGAAGGGAAGGGAACGAGTCACTTAACAGGGGTCGATTGGGGTTTGGGGCGGGCCAACACTCTGTCCAGAGGCAGAGGTGCCTTTCTGGGATCTTGCGATCGAGTCTACAGCCCTCTCTGTGAGAAGTCTTCCCACCGGCGCGTCCGCACGGCAACTCCAAACATGATTGACTTGCAACGGGACGCGCGAATCAAAAGATCAAAAGCAGACGGCTCTTCCTCCTCCTCCTCCCCTCTCGCTCTCTCGCTCTCTCGAGGTTCTCGAGGTTCTCGAGACTCTCTCTCTCTCCCGTAGGATGCCCCCGGCGAGCGGCCGAAGAGGAGGGCGGCAGCCATCGATCGATTGTGCCGCGTCTGATTGCAACGCGTCCCTCCCATACTTTGACTCGTTTCTCCGGCCAACCTCCGAGCTGCCCGTGCACCTGCGGCACCCGACAAGCGCGGCCCCGCGGCCGTTCAAGTCGACAAAGGCACAGCGGGAGCACTGGCGTGTCGAAACGAGGCTCGCCCGGCGGTCGGACGGCCAGGAGCGCGTTCATCAGCGGCTGCTCGCCTCGGGCATCATGCCTGCCCGTCTTCCCGCCGGCCAGAAGTTCGTTGAGGCCGTGCAGGCGGCACGCCCTGCTGCTGCCGCCTGCAGCGAGGCGGGCTACAAATCGATGTTGCGCATCGCAGCGCTGGCAGGCGAGGCCGCCCAAGGCCTGACCTTGTGGTGGCAGCATCCAGGACAACTCTCGTTCAACGCCGACGGCCAGTGGGGAATTTTTGGTCACGAGTTTGGCGGAGTCAAGTCGAACTTTATCTACAAGCACACGTGCGATCACGCGCGCCGCCAGCCTGTCCGCACGGTTTGCGAGCTAGGGTTTATGGCCGGTCAGTCGGCGACTATGTTCCTCGAGGCCCTGCCGGAGGCGAGGGTGGTCTCGTTCGACCTCGGCGATTGCGAGTGGACAAGGCCACAGGGCGACCTGCTACGAGCTGCGTACGGTCCTCGCTTTGAGCTGGTACTAGGGCTATCCAATTTCACTGCGCCGCGATTTGCGGCGGAGCATCCCGACCTTCGATGCGACGTGCTTTTTGTGGACGGCGCAAAATTCACCGAGTCGCGCTGGAGCGACCTTCTCAACTTTCGTCGCCTCACACAGCCAGGCGCCGCCTTGTTCTACGATGAGGTGGCCGGAACGGTGAAATAGGTATTGGCGCGCGCCTTCACCTCGCATCTCGGCCGTACTTGTGAAATAGGCCACCTCCTACGAGTGTGTAAAGGGCACTGTGCCGGAGGACGACCCAGCGTGCGTGGGCATGGAGGGCGCATCGCGCGCCTACAACCGTGCCGCCCGGCGCGGCCTCGTGCGGCCAACGGAGTGCGAGTGGGCGCCGCTGCGGCCGCGCGATGGCAGCTGCATCGCGCACTTCTTGTAGCGGGAAGCCGATCTGGCTGGAGTGCCCTGTGTGGGCGCCATGCGATGCATCCGCCCCAGCAGCTTGCTGTGCCTGCGTCGTTCTTTGAATCTCGTCGCTTCTACTCATGGCTCTCCCGGCCGCGGGAGACTCCTTCCCCAACTACGAGCCGGAGAGAGGTCGCATTGCCATTGGATAACGCTCTGGGTCTGCGGTCGGAGACACGTCAAATCAAGCAGGAGAGGATCACTGGATCCAGACTGGATCAGACACGGTGTATACCCGGGTACGCTCGCTGCGAGCGAGTTTGGGCGGGCGCGCGCCGACTACATGAACTCCACGTCGCTCTCGAGTCTCGTCTCGAGGGGGTGACGCTCACAGCGCACAGCCACAGGCCATTTTAGTTTCGTTTTTACGCACACATTACGTGGCTGGGTTCACAGCCTTGTTATTGAGAAGAAAATACCTCTTATGGCGCTGTGCGCTGGCCTGTGAGAGGTTGAGGTGCGAGCCCTGGAGGCCCTGGGGGTGGGGGGGGACTACCCGCGGGCTTAGAAGGCCCGCGCGCAGGGGGGTGGGGCATTGAGACCGGTCATGAATGAGTGCGCGCGACACGCATGTTTTGCGAGCAGCGTTGTTGATGTTTTGCGCATCGCCACTGACGGCGGCGCGCGAGAGCTGTTGCGAGTGGTGTTGGGCGAAGCCCCGGGCGCTGCCGGAGGCTGTGCCGTAGTCGGTGCGGTCGACGGCGTTCGGGCTGCCGACCTCTTTGGCGAAGTTGAAGATGATTCTCTTGGTTGGCGGCGCGATGCCGCCCTGGCTTTCGACGAGACAAATTTTGACGATTCCGTTCTTGACATGGAGCGCGTCGTAGTACTGTCCCTTGTGCTCTTTGACCCAGCCTTTGCCGGTCGCATGGACGAGCGGGCCCTGTGACTTGTGGCCGCGCTCTTTGCACCCAAGAACCTTGAGCAAGGTTTGGTCGAGGGTGTTGCCGAAGCCAAACTTGTGGCCCAGTGACGCACAGCATCCGCCGTGTGCCGCCGAGGCCGGTGCGCGTGCGGAGTTGAAGTTCCGGAGTGAAAATTCGAACGCGTTCTCTCACGGTGACCAAAAAATGTCCACCTCAGAGGCACCTCCGGAGGCAGGCCGCCGCACGCCGGCGACACAGCTCCAGCTGTCGAACTGACCCGCAGCTCCTCTCAGAGCGGGAACTGTGACGAACGTTGACTGAGGCGGTTGTCAGGAATCATCATACATCACATGGTGGCTCTCTCATGACGGGAGACCGCCCGACCACTCCTGGGTGGCACTGCCACCGGTGTCGCTCGACGTCCTGTCGACAGCGTGCCGACAGCGACACAGACCATGTGGTACGCGTCGAGTATCGACCTCTACTGCTTACCCAGCCTTCGAGTGTATCCTGGCTGTGGTCCCACACCCACTGGTGTCCATCTCAGAGACCGCAGGAGGTCATGAGGGTCGATGGGAGTGCCAACCCCACAATGCCTAAAAACCCAAGTACAGATTACTCACATTTTAGCACAGGAAGCACAAAAGTGCAGCGACTCAGCGGTGATCTAGTCAGTCACTAGCGCTGCTCGATTGCAAGCATGCGTGTGAGCTTGCATGAAACTTACAGGCAATGTGTTGTACGAAGAGATTAGGAGTAGCAGGGACCCGAGGGACCATGTGGAAGACGGCTATAGTGCTAGTCCCCCACCGGGAGGACGACCCCGGCTGGTCGCCGACCACACCCACAAAGAACCCTGCACAAAGATCGCAAGGGCGGGGACCTGTTCCTTTTTACCCATCTCACAGTAGAGAGGTGTCCGTTTTTATTTATTTATTTATTTCTGTGAAAATAACGCACACAGCTCAAGCGATGGCTCGGAGATAAGTACAGTACCCTAGCCGGTGGGAGAATGCGGGAAGTAGACAGAGCACTGTGAGAAGACATGCGGAACACGGGGTCAGAACAACTTCGAGTGAGTGTGCAGCGAGCGAGAGGCTCTCATCGTGTGCCCCACCTCTCCATGTTCCATGTGACAAGGCATGTTCGGGGCAATCGGTTACCGTGCCGGCATCTGCCGAGCTCAGATCCCAATCTCGCGCGCCAAGTTTGCGTGTCAGTAGTAGGCGCCGGACGAAAAGAGGGAGTGCATCTGGAAGTCGAATGAGTGCGAGCGGGCGCCCCTCGGGTCGGTCGCGCCGCAGCCCAACAGTCCTGCCTCGGTGCCTTCGAGCGCGTCGAGTGCGTCGATCTGCGCCTACGAACGTGCCACACCGACGCCGTGGAGAGTGGGCTCCAGGCGGCCTCGCGCGCATCGAGGCGTCGCGCCAGCAGCCCCTCGTACGTCACAGAGTCGACGCTCGTCGGCATCGGCGCCGGCTGGCTGGTGCCGATGTCCGGGGCGGCGGGCGAAGTCAGCCGGATCGGCGTCGCTGGCGGCAACAGGGCGACGTACGTCGCGGACTCGGGCGCCAGGAGGCCTGAAGGAGAGGAGAGGGGGGAGAGGGGAGAGGGGGGTGGGTTGCGCCGGGGAGGGTGGGGTGGGTGGGGGGGGTGGGGGGTGGGGTGGGGGGGGGTGGGGGGGGTGGGGGGGCCGGGGCGCGCCTCTCCGCACCAGCGTGGTCAGAATGGTTCGCATCTGCACCGAGTGCGTCAGCTTGGCCTGCGTGGGGTGTGGGGTTGTCCAGGTCGCCAGGTGGGTGTGGATCAAGGGGGCGAGTTTGGGTGTGTTTTGGTGTTGTGGGGGGGCGGGGGGGGGAGGGGCCTCCGCGTGAATCATCCCAATCTGGCGGATGCCCTCGTGCACTTTCATGATGTCGGCGAGCAGCTCGGCCTCCTCCGGCTCGGCCTCTCCGCGCGTGGCCGCGGGCTTGGCCTGCGCACCTCCCGAGCGCACCCACGCAAGGAACCTGCAGGGACATGTGCAGGGACATGTGCGGAGGGTTCAGGGAAGGCCGACTCTGCCTTGCGCGTGCCACGCGAGGGACCTGGACGGCTCGCCCGCGTAGCGGATGTGGTGGTACTCGACCACGCCCGCGCGCGCGGGCACCGTGCGGCGGAACCCGTACCTGCGGGCCGGGCGCCGTGAGTGCGAGCAGGGCGGGGAGGTGCTGCCCCGCTTGAGCTGTGAGGGCGCACGTGTGCAGCTGCTGCGAGAAGGAGCCAAGCTTGTTGTGCTTGAAGTAGCGAGGCAGCACCTGGAGGGAGGGGGGCGGGGGGGGGGAGGGGGGGTGCACGCCGCCAACTTCGCGGGGCGCGGGCGGGAGAGGTCCGGCCGACGCACCGTCTTTGCGAAGTTCTCGGCGTCCACGATTTCAAACGTGGCGGCGGTGGTGGAGAGGCGGATCAGGTGGGCAGGCTCCGTGCTCAGAATCTCGCACAGCTTGGTGAGGAAGGGCGCCGCGCGCGGCGCCGCGTGCTGCGTGGAGCTCGCAGCTGCCGCGGCAGTCTGGGGCGGCACAGACCCAGGCACCAGCTCTCGGATAGGTGCAGGGACCGCGACAGGTGCAGGCTCTGGGACAGGCGCGGGAGCGAGGAAGCGAGCGATGATCACTCCAAAGTAGTGCGTCACAGGCCCATGCTCGGACTCACGAAGCGGCGCCACGGTCAGCGTGTTCATGAAGGGCTGGCCGCCCTTTCGGTAGTTGAGCAGCTGGACGGCAAAGGTCTGCCCTTGCAGCACCGCATCGCGTAGCTGGCCGAGAGTTGCCTTGCACGTCCCAAAGCCCTGAAGGAGGGCGCAGGTCTGCCCGATCGCCTCCTCCGCGCTGAAACCACACACACGAGACCAAGTGTCGTTCACGTGCACTATGCGATTTGGTTTCGTCGCCTCTGTGATGACGCACGCCTCGCGGCTCGGCTGAAGCGCCCTGTGGACCGTCGTGGGCATCGAGTCGAGCGCCGGTAGCAGCGGCAGCTCCGAGGGCACCATCTGGAGCCAGGATCACGACAGCAGCGGTGGACGCAGGAAGCGTGGCGGAGCAGAGACACTCCCCGAACTGCTTCATCAATCTGAAGCATCGAGAATCCTCTTCCATTTTCTCTTTCTCTCTCTCTCTCTCTCTCTCTCTCTCTCTCTCTCTCTCTCTCTCTCTCTCTCTCTCTCTCTCTCTCTCGCTCGCTCGCTCGCTCGCTCGCTCGCTCGCTCGTGTGTCGACACACGGCCGAGAAAAGACTTCGACCGGGTTTGAAAAACTTGGCATGCCGTACAACTAGATGCAGTTGGCGCTTCTTTCTGGTGTTAGTGCCAGTGCGCGCCGGTCCGGTGCCCAGAAAGAATACGACAACCCAAACGAGGTGGGAGAAGGACACACGAGATCGGCCGAGATCGGCCGAGATCACCGACGGAGGGGCGGGAGGCTGGTACGCGCCGACCGCACGCGCATACGCCACCGCCGTGTCGACGTAGCCGATGGTGACCGTCCTTCCGTCCACACTGTGGTACGCTTGGAAGCGGCCAGAGTGCTTGGGCGCGCGCACCTCTCTTAGCCCGTGCTGCTGCTGCTGGAGAGGTTGCAGCTGCAACCCCTCCCTCCGCCTCCGTCGCGACTGCAGCCCCAGAAGGCAGACACTCCCGCTCTCGATTTAAACAAATAGAGCAGTCAACCCCTGGTGGGATTAGGGCAGCAACCCGACGGGCAGACCCCGCCCCGCTCGGAGGGCGTGCACCACACAGCACACGCTCTCGATTTCCCGCGAGAGGAGTTACCACACGAAAAAATGGGCGCAGGCCTCCAGAAAGAAAGAAAGAACAGAGACAACCCAAGGGAACGCGCGCGCGTTTCTTTTTGACCGCGCAAGATAAAAGGGTGGCTAAGGGCTCTGCCCGCAAGGCGCCCGCGTCGCAGACGCGGTACCATTGACAAATCTGCGATATACCCCCACACGAGCAAATAGCCAAAATCCGAATACCGTGCACGAATCCGGCGATGTGGGCCGTGCAAGCCTTCAGCTGGTGCCAAGACAATCGTACAATTGAGAGAGAGAACCTGCGGACGGCCGGAGCCGAAAGGTCGTCGACGAATTCATCAACAAAACTCCGCAGGCCAAGGCACCACCCGAACATGCGATGCGCGACGAACCCGGATATGAGGCGGGCAAGTACAAGATCAAGCCAGAGATCTTTGCCAGGTTCGTTCGCAGCTGCAACGTCACCCGAGCTGGAGGCCCTAACCACGTCGACTACGACTTTGTGCGCATCATCACCGACAGCGAACGTGGCTCCAAGTGCCTCCTTAACTACTTCACCGCATTCTCGTGGGGCGTCGAACACCCTCGGTTGCAGCAGCTCGACGCCGACCTCAAAGCCCTGTGCCTCGTCAAGGAAGACGGCTCCCTCCGCCCCCTCGGCATGTGCAGCATCATGCCGCGGTCGGCTGAGCGCTGCATACACATGCAAGAGTGCCCCTGGATGGAGCAGTACCTCACCTCGCCGCTGCCCGAGGATCGTCACGCCCGAGATGTGGCCATCGCCAACGCCGCCGCCGCCCTCACCGCCGCCGAGCATACCCTCAAAACCACCGTCGACCGCGTCCGGGCCGGAGGCGGCACCGACAGCGACATCACAGCGGCCAGAGACGCCCTCGACGCCGCCTACCGAGCCGACGCGGCTGCTCGGCAACCAGTCAACTTCCCAGTCAACTATGGGTATTCGAAGAATGGAACCCATCTCGTGTGCCACACAGTCACTTCGTGGCACACCCTGCGACCTGGGAATGCGTCAATCAAGTCGGACAAGCGTAACTTCTTCAACCTCACGGGACAGCCCCTGGACGCAGACGGCAACCCAGACCCGAGCGGGTACGGCAGGACTGTCTGTTTTGAGTGGGCGCGTAAGCGCAATCCGGCACTCATCCCGGCGATGCGGTTGGTGTTTGGTCGACGCAGCTTCCTCCGTCTGTGCAGCGCGGACGGACCGCTCCAGGACCCTCGGGCAGCCGGACCGAGCGACGCCGACGCACCGTGGGACCCGCTCAGCCTGGAGCCGCCCGGTGAGGACGCCGACGGCTACATCCGGTCGTGCTGCGGCGGCGCCCAAGGGCGCGCCTTCTCAGGGATGTGCACCACCGGAGTCAAACACGAGATCGACAACATTGTGCAAAAGAAGAACCCGACTACCCGCTTCGTTTCGTTCATCGACGACATGGTTCAAAACGACACCGTGGCAGTGTGATGCACGCCCTGTGAGCGGGCGGGGTGCGCACTGTGCCTCTGTGTTCGTGCGTCGCCCATCTCTCCTGGAGATGACTTCTCTATTTATTTATTTATCCTTTGCGCTTTGGCCGCGTTGGGTAGCGAGGATTGGTGTGACGCGATCCACGCAGGCGTGTTTTCTGGCGGCCGACCGTCAGTGCACGGAGTTGCCCCTCCCTTCTCCGACTGCCCCGGCTAGTTGAATTAATTGAATTCTTAAAATACAAGCCTCTCTCACAGGTCACAGCACGCTGGCACGACAAGGGCGCGGACTGGCGCGGACTGGCACACACACACCGGCTCACCACCAGTGAAAAAAGAATCACAGTTTACTTGCGCAACACCCATCGGTGGAGGTACACGTGTCCGAGACGAGAGTGGACCTGAGCAACGACATGACTGGCGGCAAATGTGAACCTCTCACAGGCCAGCGCACAGCGCCATAGGAGGTATTTTCTTCTCAATAACAAGGCTGTGAAATGATCGGAGTGGGCGTGCTGCTCCTCAGCCTCGCGCTGCAGCCGCTCCAGCACCGTGGCAGCGACCCGCTTGGCAGCGGCGCACGGCGCGGCCTCTGCAGGGCCGACTTTGTTCGCGCGGCGTCCGCTGCGGCGCTCTCTCTGCCCGGGTGCGCCGTGCTGCCGCTCGCGCCGGGACCGGCGCTGGCCGCCGACGCCGCGCCCGCTGCAGCGGCCTCAGACGCCGCTGCCGTGTCGCAGCTGCGCGTGGCGGACTACGCGTTCCGGTTATCGTATCCGGCGACTTGGGAGCCCTCGTCCAAGCCCGTCAAGACGCATCTCCTCGAGTCGATCCTCAAGGGGCCGGCGCACAAGGCGCAGCTCGGCGTGACGGTGGACCCCGTCAAGATCTCGTCGCTGGAGGAGTTTGGCTCGATCGCCGAGGTGTCCGAGCGCGTGCTCAAGGTGGAGGAGGGCCGCGACGGAGTGCAGGCGGTCGAGCTGCGGAGGGCGGTCGCCGAGCCGGGCTCGCCGACCTACTACGTGATCGAGTACGCGGTCGCGAGCTCGAGGGGGAAGAAGATGTACCTCTGCAAGTATTGCATCGCCCAGCGCAAGCTGTACGTCCTCCAGACGCAGGCGGCGCTCGACAGCTACGACGCGGACGCAGACAGCATCCGCACGCAGCTGAACTCAATAGTCGCCTCGTTTGTGGTCGGCGGCTGAACACCGCGAGCGAGACGGGAGTGTGGGGGGTGAGTAGAGGTACTGCATGTACAGGGCGCTAAAAAATGACGGCGGCGGACGGATCGTGGTCTCCCAATGGTGGCGGTGCGTCTCTGGGCGGGGCCCCGCGCGCGCGCCGCGCGGGGTCCTCGCTCTGGAGGCACCGTGCGCCCCGCGCCGCAGTGCGGAAACGGGGCTCCGGCGCTCATACTCGCTCATACTACCAACTTCCCGATCTAACCCGGTCTAACAGAGGGCAGATTTGGAGAGATCTCGAGGAGTACATACAGATAGACCCTCCAACCACCAGAAAACTCCGACCTGATCGGTCGTACTGACCGCCGACTGATCACTCCAGACAGCAGACAGGCCGACGTCTGCACGTGGCCGGGCCGGGCGAGAGGCTTGACACGATCCGACCCTGCGACCCTGACGCTGCTGCTCTAGCTATCAGCCATGCACTGCTGACTGCTGCCACAATGTGCGACCTGTGCTGGCCCACTTGGCGGCCTTCCCGGTCAGTGGTGAGGCGCAGTTCAGAGCTGTCGATGGCGCGATGCCGCACTGGTCCCACATTGGTGACATGAGACCACCAAGTTTGCCGGTCCAAGAGAGAGGCACCGGCGCTGTCCTGAGAAGGTGCGTGGTCCCTCTTGACTGCCCATGCGCGCGAGGCTGTGTAGGCATAGCCTCGAGAGTGCCAGCAGCCAATCCGAGGTGACGCGCATTGCGCCAGAAGCGTGCACGCAGCTGGAAGGACACCTTCCTACTGGCCGTACGATCAGGTCGTCACTGAATGCTTGATACTAAGGCCGCGAGCTATGCAGGTGATCAATTGTGCATCATGGCACGGTCAGCTGCGCCGACAGGCTGTCGCAAGGCGTGATAGCATGGCCGCAAGTACGCCGAATTCCCATGAAAACAAGTAAAAATCTCGAAAAAAGAAAAACAATCCGAAAAAATCGGCGCCTGCGGCGGGCCATGGGACCCCATCTCCCCCCCGCATGGACACCCTCTGGGGCCCCCGCGCCGGCCCAGAGGGTCCTCGGTTGCCGCGGCGCCGGCGGCGCGCGGGCGGGGCGGGGGTGTCGGTCTCGCTCGCGCGGCAGCTCCGCTTCGCGTTGGCCGCGTGCCATGCTCAACCTATATACATGAATACTACATGTCTCGGCACAGCACAAAAACAAAACCCTCGCGCTCACGCTATGGTAAACAAGTGCGACAAACATGCAAAGACATGCGTGTGCGTGTGTCCCGTGGCGTCAAAAAAGGAAGACGATTTATCGTGTGTGTCACAAGGATCCGCCACGATCGCGCACGCCACCCTCGCGCTCCTCGTCGCAATCGAGCTGCTGCTGGTCGACGGCCGCCAGGTAGCTCTCCTCCGGGACGCCGTCGAGGAAATCGATGCGCCACACCAGGTAGCACCAGCAGCCCCAGTCGTACAGCAGCTGCACCGAGACGGGCCTGTCGTCGACCAGCAGCACGTACTCTCGCAGAAAGTCCTTCTCGGCAGAACGCGCCGAGGGCTCAAACGTGACAGGATGCGTCACCGCGAAGGACCACGCAGTGCAGCCCACGAGCCACGAGTAGTGCTCCTCAACCTCGGCCGTGAAGTCATCCAGCCCCACAGCCCGGCCGCTCACGTAGCCGCCGATGAACTTTGCGGTGCGCCATGCCACGCGCTTGTCAGAGAGCGCCATGCCGGACACGAAGGAGGACTGGCCTGGGGAGCGCGCCGCAAAGCGAAAGGCCTCTGCTATGCCGCCGGCATTGTGCTGCAGATTGACCATGACGTACTCGATCACTTTGGTCGGCGACTTGAAAGCGCTCGGGCCGTCCTCCGCGAGGTCCTCCAGTGCCGTCTGCAGGCCACGCCGCTGAAGCTCCAGGGTGAGCGCCGCGCTGCTGAAGCCGCCCGCTGCGGCACCGCAGCACGCGATCGGAGGACAGCGCGCACGGCGTGGCGGCGACAGCGTGGCAAGCGGAGCGAACAAGAGCATAAATAGCGCAGAATGCTGGCGCACTGGCAGGGCCCCTTTTCGGCTCCCGCGGCGGCGCAAGCCGCCGGCGACCGTTTTCTTTTCCGCAGGCGAGGAGGGTTTGAAAAGACAAAAACAAGGGAGGGAGGGGAGGAAGGTGTTGTTTGAGAATGGAAAATACGAGAAAAAATCCTCAGGCGTTTCGCGCCTGAAGGTTGCTCACCATGCACCAGCACCGCACCGACGCGCTGCTGGACTCCATCGCGGAGAGTCTGCGCTGCCGCATCTGCCTCGAGATGCTGGGCTCGAACGGGCGGCCCGAGCGCCTGCCCTGCGACCACGCCTTTTGCCGCGCCTGCCTCGCCAAGACCATCGAGGCGGCCGGCGAGAAGAATGCCAAGTGCCCGCTGTGCAACGCCGAGATCACGCGCCGCACGGCCAAGGAGGACGGGCAGCTGGCGCGGCTCGCCCGCGCCTTCGAGCGTGTACGGGGCGCCTTTGCCGCTCGGCCCGCAGGCGCGCCTCCCTTCCGAGGGCGGCTGCCGCGCTGCTTCGGCCGCGACAGCGACAGCGACGAGGCGGCGTCCGAGGACGAGGCGGCGCACGTCCCGGTCGGAATGGACGAGACGCCCGTCCGCGCTGCCCTCCCGGCCGGCGAGAGCGAGACGCAGGCCGAGGCGTGCGCGGGCGGTGCTGCCGAGACGCCTGGCGCCGTGGGGCAGGGCGGGCTCGCCGAGCCGCCGATCGAGGAGGAGATCGCCCTGCCGGACGCCGCCACCCTCGCCGAGTTTGCCCGCCTCCGCGCCGAGATCGCGGCAACCATCGCACGGCAGGGCGAGGTGCGGCGGCCGTGTAGCGGCGGGAGTGGGGCTAGGTCGGCTCTGTCGGACCACTGCGCGCGCAGAGAGCGGGCGCGCCCACTCCCCTCCCACTCCCCTCCCACTCCCCTCCCACCCCCTCCCAACCCACAGGCGCGCGCGCAGCTCGAGGCACTGCTGCCGCGGCTCGCCGCCGAGGGGTCCGCGCTGCAGGGTCCGATCCGCGAGCGGCTCGCGCAGGGAATGGCTCGCGCGGCGGCGCACGCCGCACAGGGCGAGCACGCGCCGCGGCTGGCAGGCGGCGGTGCGGACGAGCAGGGGGACCAGGGCGGCGCATCGCCTCGCTCGGATGACGGCGTGGCGCCGACCCGGGCAGCGGGCGCCGCCGCCGCCGATTCGCCGCCTTTTGAGGGGGCGGCGGCGGCGGCAGAGGCGGCGACCGAGGAGGGGGCGAGCGAGGCGGCGAGCACGGGGCCGTGCAGCGGGGCCGCGCGGAGCGATGCGGGGGCGGGGGAGGCCTTTGGCGGCGTCGAGCCCTGGGCCGGCGGCGCAACCGTCGGCGGCGCAACCACCTGCATGGAGGAGACCGGTGTGGAGACGGTGCAGGGGGGATACTTTGGGGAAGATGGTGCCGGGGCCGAGACAAACGTCGAGACCGGGATCGAGACAAACGTGGACGAGCACGGGGTCGAGACTAACGTGGAGGAGTACGCACCGCTCCGCGCGGGCGGAGGCCGCCAAGAGGCTGCCCCCGAGGCAGACGGCGGGCTCGCTGCTTGCCTCGCAGACACCGCCGAGTCACTCGGCGCGTCGCCGGCCCACGCGCTGCCCGTCGCACAGTCGCAGACGCAGCTGGACGGACCCGAAGAGACGCAGCTCGACGCCTCCCCGCTGCAGTCGCCGCCGCAGCCTATCCTACCGCCGCCGCCGCCGCCGCCGCCGCCGCCGCCGCCGCCGCCGCCGCCGCCGCCGCCGCCGCCGCCGCCGCCGCCGCCGCAGTCGCCGCAGCAGTCGCCGCAGCGGTCGCCGCCACAGCCGTCGCCGCAGCAGATGCCGCAAGAGCCGCCGTCGCCGCAAGAGCTGCCGTCGCCACAGCCGCGACAGCCGCAGCAAGACCCGCCGCAGCCGCCTCCGCAGCAGATACCGCAGCCAGACGTCGCGCCCCTTCCGCCTCCGCCTCCAGTCGTGGCGCCGCCGACGCCTCCCGACGCACCGCCCCCGTCGGGTGGCGTCAGAGGGAGGCGGAGCCGGCTCAGCGGCGCCTCTGGCGGGAGGGCATCCTCTCGCGGCCTTCGGCCGGTTGTGCGGTTCGAGGCGGCTCCCGCCCCGGCTCCCGTTGAGCTAAAGAGGAGCCGCCGGGGCAGTGGCGGCGCGGGGTCGAGCGGACAGGGCGGCGGCGGCGGAGGAGGAAGCGGCGGCGGCGGCAAGGGTGCTGGCGCGCGCGGCTCGCCACGCGACGTGTTTGAGTTTACAGGCAGCCCTCCCGCGGCGGCGGCGCCGACCGGAGAGAGCAGCGAGGCCGCGCCGAGGGCGAGCCGCAAGACGAGGGGAGGCGCGGCGAGGACTCCCCTCCCGAGCACCGCCGCCGCCGCCACCGTAGCTGCCGCCGCCTCCGCCGCCGCCGCGTCGCCCAGCGTGGCGACGACCGCATCGGCGGGGTGCGCCACCGACTCGGCGTGCGGCGGCACCGCGCCGGACGACGCGTCTTGCGCCGTGTGCGGCGAGGAGGACTCGTTCGAGGACAACCCGATCGTGCTGTGCGACCGGTGCGACCTCGCGGTGCACCAAAATTGCTACGGCGTGCACCGGCTGCCGCAGGGGGAGTGGCTCTGCGACCCGTGCGCCGCCGGCGAGACGACGAGCACGCTCGGGTGCCCCGGCTGCCCTCGCAAGGGCGGCGCCTTGAAGCGGACGCGCGACGGGGAGTGGGGCGGCTGGGCTCACGTCGTGTGCACGCTCTTCCTGCCCGAGACAGGCTTCCTCGAGCCCGAGGCGCTCGACCGGGCGGCCGGCTTCGACCTGATCCACCCGGACCGCAAGAAGCTCAAGTGCCACCTGTGCGACGATGCGGGCGACCGCGTCTGCGGCGGAAAGATCCAGTGCACCCACGGCAGGTGCCAAAAGGCCTTCCACCCGACCTGCGGCATGGCGCACGGCCTCACGATGCAGATCACCGACGAGGGCAACATCGGCTACTGCGCGGCGCACGCGCCGGGCGCGCCGGCAAAGGCGCGCGCGCAGGGGCGGCGGCGTAAGAGCAAGGCCTAAATGTGGCCCGGCGACAAATCGCTTAATTAGTTGGTGTAGCGACAAGCCTGCGAGACCTCGCACTTTCGGCGGCCATGTTCGGAGTGCATCTCTGTGCGGAATTACCCCTACTTAGCACAACAACAACAACATGTACATGTACAACAAAGAATTTCTGGCCGCAGATCGGACGAAGAAAAATGGCGGCTCGCGAATTTTAAACATCAAAGACGAGAGTCTTGCGCCGCGACCATTCAATCGGCCATTCGACACTAGTTGATTCGAGCGCACGATGAGGACAGACGACCGTACGGCAACGCATCGACCCGCGTCGCGCTGCTGCTTCGTAGTCCTCGAGGTTGCGCGCGAGCTCCCTGAAGGGCGACCAGTCCGCCTTGAAGGCCTCAAGTAAGGCCTCTACAACTGTAAGCGCGCCGGCCCTGCCGGGGGCGCCCCGGGGGCACCGCGCCTTACCCCCCCCCCCCCCCCCCAACCCTCTCACGAGCCCGAATCCGAGTCCGAACCGCTGCCCTCGCTGCTGCTGCTGTCAATCGCTCGCCTCTTCCCCCCCGCCTTCGAACGCGACGGCGCCTTCGAACGCGACGGCGCCGTAGCCGCCTTCGAACGCGACGAGGACGGCAACCCCCCCTCGTCCTCGCTCTCCGTCACCGAGCTGTCCGCCTGCTTCCGCTTCTCGCCTGCATAACGTCCGCGTGCCGCGCGGCGCTTATAAGGCAGCTTAGCCAGCCGCCGTCGTTGAGGAGAGCTCAGCCTCTGCGGATTGCTCACCAGCCGCGAGACCCAGGCACCGACGTTTTCGCCCGCCGCCCGCGTGCTCTGCTGTAAGTCCACGCCCGGGTTCTGCGCTGCCCACGCCTCGGCAATGCAGAGCATCTTCTCATCGCTGTCGGCGAGCGAAGGGCGACCGTACGGCAAGGCGTCAAGTAGCGTCACCTGCGAGCCTGACAACTTGTCTGAGCGAGACTTGCGGTTGCAGATCCACACTCCGATGGGGAAATCGGTGCCAGAGGGCGTCGGGATCGTGGTCTTCTTTTCGATCCGCTTGCCCGGGTTGGCTACCACCCATGCCTTGGCGAGAGAGAGAACCTCATCGGGAGTCAGCTCCTTGCCGATCGGAAGCGCGCGGAACCGCCGTTGGTGCACCTCCGAGAGCGAGCTCATCCGCCTCTGCGTGTTCATGATCCATTCTCCGAGCTTGAAACTGCCCCAAGGCGCTGGGATCTCAGCCGTGGTCGATATCCGCTTGCCGGGGTTCGAATCCACCCAGCTCTCGGCGAGACCCAAGATGGTGTCAACATCGTATTGTCTCGCGCCGTAGGGCAGCTTCTTGAACCGCTGAAGCTGCGGCGGGGAAAGGCGGCTTCGCGCCGTCTTTTGCCCTTTGCCGTCGCCAGACCGAGACGCAATCCAAGACCCGAGGGGGAAGCTGCCTGCATACCACGGAGCCGGGAGCGTCATCGTGCACGAGATGCACTCGTTCGGGTGGTCCTTGACCCACTGCTCGGCCAGCGAGAGCACGTCGTCCGCCGTGTAGTTGCGCGTGCCGTAGGGCAGCGCGTCGACCCGCCGGAGCTGCTCCGCGTCCAGCTTCGCGCGCAGCCTCCGCGCGCCATCGTGGTTGCCCTTGCGGTTTGCGATCCACGAGCCGAGCGCAAAGTCGTTATCGGTCTCCCACGGCACCTCGTCTGCAGGCACCTTGAAATCTTGCTTAGTCTGCAGGCACCTTGAAATCTTGCTTAATGCGCTCGCCCGGGTGCGCCTCGACCCACCGCTCGGCAAGGGCCAGCACGTCGTCCGCAGAAAGGGCTCCCGCCGCCGTGTCCTCCTCCTCCTCCTCCTCCTCCTGCTGCTGCTCCTCCTCCTCGTCCTCCTCCTCGTCCTCCTCCTCCTTGTCCTCCTCGTCCTCCTCGTCCGCGTCGTCCTGCTCGTCCTCGTCCTCCTCCTCGTCCTCGTCCTCCTCCTCCTCCTCGTCCTCCTCGTCCGCGTCGTCCTGCTCGTCCTTCTTGGATGCCGGTCGCTTCCGGGTGGTGCCGTGAGGCAGCGCGTCGAGCCGCCGCAGCTGCTCCAACTCCATCTTGCCGCGCAGCGTCTGTGCACCTGGGTTGTCGCCCTTTCGGTTCGAGATCCAAGCGTAGAGATGAAAGTCTTTGTCGAACGGTGCCTCAAACTTCTTCCCGCGCAAGATCCGCCCGCCGGGGTGCTCCTCCACCCAGCTCTCGGCGAAGGCCAACACCGTATCCACATCCGGATCGCCGTAGGGCAGCTTCTTGAACCGCTGAAGCTGCGACGCGGAAAAGCGTTCTCGCGCCTCTCTCGACGTGTCGCTGTCGCCAGACCGAGACGCAATCCAAGACCCGAGGGGAAAGCGGCCTGTAGACCACGGAGCCGGGAGCGTCATGTTGCCACGGATGCGCTCTTTCGGGTGGTCCTTGACCCACTGCTCGGCCAGCGAGAGCACGTCGTCCGCCGTGTAGTCGCGCGTGCCGTAGGGCAGCATGTCGAGCCGCCGGAGCTGCTCCGCGTCCAGCTTCGCGCGCACCTTCCGTACGCGCTCGGTATCGCCCGTATGCTTTGCGATCCACGAGCCGAGCGCAACAAAGTCTTTATCGGTCTCCCACGGCACCTCGTCTGCAGGCACCTTGCAAATTTGCTTAATGCGCTCGCCCGGGTGCGCCTCGACCCACTGCTCGGCAAGGGCCAGCATGTCATCCGCGGAGCCGATGCCAGCCTTGCCAAATGGCAGCTTGTCCAGCCGACTCAGCTCAGCAGGGTAGATCGCATCGCGCATCTTTTCAGACTTTGCGCTGCGGCGGGTGCGGTTTGCAACCCACTGTCCGAGGGGGAAGTGGTCGTCCCAAGGCGTCCGAATCTTCGTGCCTGTTTGGATCCGGCGCTTCGGGTCATCGCCCAGCCATGCGTCAGCTTGGTCCAGCACATCCTTGACGGGAGGGTCGCCATATGGAAGCCGATCCAACTCCGGCAGCAAGCCGCTGCTCTCCAACTTTTGGCGCAAGCCCACCGAATAGGCGCCAGTCCCGACGCGCGCCTTGACCCACTCTCCGACCGCAAAGTCCCCCCACGGCGCCGGGACGACCGTGGAAAAAGTAATCCGCTTGCCAGGGTTGGCAGCGACCCAGGACGTTGCGACAGAAAGCGCTTGCTGTGCATCGTACTTGGGCCCGTAAGGCAGCTCGTGGAAACGGGTGCGCTGCTCGTCCGTCATCTCGTCAAGCTGCTTGCTGCGGTTTCTGCGGCAAGCGATCCATGAGCCGAGCGCAAAGTTGTCGTTCCACGGCGCGACCACCTTTGTCTTGGCCTCGATTCTCTCGCTCGGATTCTCCTCAGCCCAGCGCTCTGCAACGTCGAGAATGTCATCGATGTCGTATTCAGCGCCGTACGGCAGCTTGTCCAGCCGTGACTGCTGCTGCGATGTCATGCCGGCTCGCTGCGCCATGCCGTACACGCCGGTGCACGATGCAAGACGCGCGCTGATCCAATCGCCGGCGTGAAAGCTCGAATGCCACGGCGTCGGAATCTTTGTCTTGTACTCGAAACGCTCGCCTGGATTCAGCTGCACCCACTTCTCAAGCTCGTCGAGAGCCTCATCGACATCGAACCGCACGGCGGTCCGCTCGAGCTGCACGTCGTACACCTGGTCGCGCAGCCGCTGCAAGGCCGCCTCCTCCACCTCGCCGTCGGCCGACTCGAACTTGAGGTAACGGCCCAACTCTTTGAGCGCCTCGACGCGCAGCGCCGTGTCGCCGCCGCTCTCGAAGACCGCCTGCCCGCGCTTAAGCTTGATGAAGGCGACCTTGAGGCGGCTGTCGCTTCCAGCGAGGGCCGACAGCACGTTGCACGCGTTCCGCATCCCTGGGTCCTCTCGCGGCTTGCCCTCGCCGCCGCCGCCGCCGCCCCCGCCGACACCGCCCCCGCCGTCGCCGCCTCCCTCGCCGCCGCCGCCCTCGCCTCCGCCCTCGCCGCCGCCACCCTTGCCGCCGCCGGCCTCGCCACCGCCGGCCTCGCCACCGCCGCCCTTACCGGCGCCGCCCTTGCCGCTGCCACCCTCGCCACCGCCACCTTTGCCGCCGCCGGCCCCGCCCCTGCCGCCCTTACCACCGCCGCCCTCGCCGCCACCGCCGCCGCCGCCGCCGCCGCACTGGCCGCCGCACTGGCCGCCGCCTTCCTCGCCGCCGCCACCCTTGCCGCTGCTGGCCTCGCCACCGCCACCGCCCTTGCCGCCGCCGCCCTTGCCGCCACCGCCACCGCCCTTGCCGCCGCCGCCCTTGCCGCCACCTTCCTCGCCGCCGCCGCCACCGCCACTGCCACCACCGCCACTGCCGCCGCCGCCACCGCCACTGCCACCACCGCCACTGCCGCTGCCGCCACCACCGTCACCGCCGCGACTGCTGCCGCCGCGACTGCTGCCGCCGCGACTGCTGCCGCCGCCGCGGTGGCCGCCGCCGCCAAAACTGCCGAAATCGGTCGGGTCAGCGTCGCCCGTGATCACGAGAGGCAGCAAGATCACTGCCTCCTCGCACGCGCTCTCCACGTCGTGCCGCAGCACGCGCCCGACCGCCTGCGTGACGCCCTCGGTCGTCGCCTGGCCGGACAGGATGCCCTCCGCCTGCGCGTCGGGCACATTGACGCCGACGCCGAGCGAGCGCACGTTGAACATCAGCACCAGCGCACTCGTGTCGCGGCTCGCATCGCGGAAGCGGCGGAGCTCCTCCTTGTTCTCCGTGGTGGTCTGCTTCGAGTGGTACTCGCAGAAGCAGCACTCGGCGCCCGCCTCAGCCTGCTGCGGGAACAAGCCGTGCTCCCACATGTCCTCGGCAACCTTTCGCGCATTCTCTGCCGCTTTGATGCTCGAGTAGAAGACGAAACCCTTGTGCAAGCGGTGGCGGTGCATTGCCGAGGCCAGCGCCAGCATCTGCGCTCGGCATGCCGCGAGCGCCGCGCGCTTCCGAGCCTCCTCCTCCTCCTCGGACGCCTTGCCCTTT